CGTTTGCTGCCGCTTCTGCCTAGACGATGTGATGCGAATCCCAAGCGGAGTGCAGAGCTGCCAGGGTCAGCATGGTCTATATTCCCTCAGCTGCAAATAGGCCTGGGCATCTAAGTCCAGCTTTTTGGTAGGAATTTACTCTGGACGATGGCCCTGTTGATTTAAAGCAAACAAGATGGCAATACTGAAGCAAGTTTGTTGGAATTGCCTGGTAAATTCCTCTATCTCCTCCCTTTTTGATAAACACCCCAGACCAGGCTGTTTCACCCATACTGACTCTGGGTTCACAGTCAGTCATACAGAGAGGAGGCATTTCCAGAGGACACCTTCACAGCTCTCGGAAAGCCAAGGCCCTTTGCAGTGCCACCAATGGATTCTCCAAAACGAGATTCTCAAAGCCATGAGCGAAAACACGGGCTCACCTTTGGGACCTCCATGAGAGGCAGGGACACATGGCTTTTACCAATGCTCAGAAGACATTTTGGTCTTAGAATACAGATGGGTTTGTTGGGAGTTAGCAAGTAAAATGCTATTGCATTCAGGATTAAAATTTAAAAGAAAACAGCTTTGTTAATAAATACAGACTTAACCTCAAGCTATTTTTCAGGTAAGCAACTACAGCTTGCTGGAAGTCACAAGAGAGACAAATTAAAATCTAAATTTGCTTTAAGGTACCAGCTTAAACTAATTTAACAATTTACAAATGCAAAGCCCGGACATGTTTCCTGGTATTGCTAAAAGGCAGAGTTAGTTCAACCACCTTAACTCAGGCTTTTCTAGCTTGGGTGCTTTACCCAACTAATCCTTTTCTCTGGGTTTTTGCATGCCTGGTTTTGCGGACAATTACTCCATCTAATATCCTCCTGACCAGTACATGGGACTAAATTTCATATTTACATTTCAGGGAGCCCCTTCCTGCTTGCAGTGGAGACTTTTCTGGGACTATTAAAGAAAATAACGTGTTCTGTTACCTTAAGAATAAATTAAACAGAAATTGTTCAGCAGTGGAATGACCTTCTGAATTCCCACTGATGGTGGCTGATACCCGTCCACGTGCGTCCCCTCGGCCACTGGTAGCACCTGCAGGCTGGTTGCTGTAACTATCCTCCGTGCAGTGAATTCCGAGCAGCAGCTTCCCCAGCGCAGTCTGCAATGCCGCATGTCACTGCTGCAGTGAGCGGGGCAGCAGGGCCAGCTGAGCCAGGCACTGCCACATCCTGTCAGTGTTTCTGTCTCCTGCTAATGCAAGGGGCACTAAGAGGTGCCTAAGAGCAGGTACAGGTACCGTGGGGGTCACTGCTCCACAGCCCCACTTGGAAGAGGGCTGTTTCACCAGTAGGATCGAGGTGATGGGGCTTTGGCTGGCTGCAACTTGAAAACCTCCAAGACCAGAGATGCTCTTCTCGGCTGACCTGCCCCCAGGCTGCAGCACCCTCTGTGGGAAGATCTTTCTGATGTCTAACCTGAACCTCTCAGTCTGCAACGTCTAGCCACTGTCACCTGCCACTTCCCTGCTTCTGCATTCAACCCGCATAGGCTCAGCTGAGCTGGGGGGCTCCCCTTGGCCGGGGAACCGGGGACGGGGCTGCACTGCTTTGGATGGGGGAGGCACTGCTTTGTGCCATCCTCCGAGTGGAGCTGGCACTGGAGGGCTGCTCTGGGAAGGGCTGTTGCCTTAGGACGTGCTTGTGGCAGACTTTCAAGCTGGCCTCCCACCCACAGCAGCGGTTATGCAAGGCCAGCAGCCCTCAGCATGTCACCAAGTCCTTCCGTGGGCCTGGCAGAGCATCAGGAGCCCTGGGGCAATGCAAAGTAGCCCCAACACCTTCCCGTTTTTGTGCTTACAGACCCCGTGCTGAGCAGCACTTACCCACACTGGCTGACCAAACGCCCAGCTCACTGGTGAGTCTCAAGCAGAGCACTAGGGTTTGGTTTGGATGACCAGCCCCGTTTTCCTGCTTTGCCATAAATCCTCCTAGTGTTGGCTGCTATCACTACACAGAATAAATAAAATAAGCCAGTGATTACGCAGTCAAGGTGCCAGCTAGCAGCTCTCCTGCCCAGGAGCTGCCCTAGCACAACACATTCCCCCCGCTCCACTCCAGTTGCCTTGAGGTTTTCTATTTGCTTCTGCAAAATCGTATTTCCTGTTCCCCATTCTGAAAAGTGGATTCCTACTGTGTCTAGGTCTCCCATGCAAAACCTTCTGGAGTGGCTTTGGCCAACAAAAGCTCATGGAAAAAAGAAAGGCAATGAAAGTGGCTAATTCGTTGCAGAGCAAGCAAGGTCCAGGCAGGCAGACCAGCACCCTGGAGCCTGGTTCCCTGTCCCCTCTGTCCCAGGTGCTGCTGCAAGGTGCCCAGCACCCAGGAGACCCAAATTCTGGCCATTATCTTTGCTGCAGACACAGAAGTGCTGAAAGACCACCAGCCACTACAGAGCAGCCCTGCCAAGGGGCTCGACCACTGGCAGCTTCGGAAAAATGATCTGAAGAGGGGCTGTATTTGAGCTGTCATGGTCCTGTCAGCATGAAAATGTTCCCTTCCCTCATGGCGAGGTCCGTGCTTGTCCTTTCTGCCATCTCTGCCCTCTGGACTGCCTTGCTGTGTGGTCACTGCAGCCCCAGTACAACAGAGACCTGAAGCTGCAGCGTTCCTGGTGTTGGGAGCAGAGTTTCCATCTTTCCTTGATGGAGGGAGTATGTTGTGTGCTCAGCAGCAGAGCTCCCTCCATCCCAAGCCTGCCAGCCCCTAGGAGCTCTGCCCTGGCAAACCCAAGTGCAGCAGCCCGTGCGCTGGCCCAGCTCTGCTCTTGCTTTGGGAGGTCAAAGCTCTGGCCCCCAGTTGTTGAGAGAGATGGAGTGAGCCATGGTTGAAGAGACTCCCGAAACAGGCCTGGGAGAAGCGGGATTCGGGAAGCTCCTCGACTCAAAGGCAGCTGGGGCAGGGAAAGGAGCAAGAAGGCTCCGCAGCGCAGGCAGGACGAGGGAGCGGGGGGGACCTGTCTCAGTCCAAAGCCAGGCAGGGAAAGCTGGATTAACAACCCCTCAATCCCTTCCTCACAGTACCCTGTGCTCTCGCAGCACCTACTGCACTTTTGCTGAGGGCATTTTGCTCACCCCACACTAGCCCTCTACCCCAGCAGAGGGGACTTATGTCCCCTGCCCTGGCACAGGTCTCCCTGAAAGCCACCTGGGCCTCACAACCACCTGGTTTGATCTCACCTCCCTTATCCCCACTCCCTCGCTACCCGCCAAACCTCCCGAAGGCAGCAAGCCCTGCAGAAGCGCTGATGAACGGAGCGGCTCCGAGAGCAGGTGAGAGGCAGTGCCCCGGCTGGGCAAGTCCTGCAGCTGACATCCTGCCCAAGAGACTGAGGCAACACGGAACTGGAAGAGAATTTTTCATGGCTAAGATGCAGCCCCAAGCAGAGAGGAGGGGGAGCTAGTAATTACCCTCTCAGCCATCCCACAGCTCCCCACCAAAAAGGGGCCATGAGGCACTGAGGGGTCCCCAGCAGGAGCAAGAGGTGCCAAGATCCAGGCAGGGAGAGGGGCCAAATAGGCTCTGCTGCGGCTGCTCAGGGGTCAGCCCTGCACAGGCAGCAGAGCTGCAGCTTCCAGTAGAGCTGCAGGAAGACGCCGGGGCAGAGCCACAATCTGGCGCTCCGCTCGGAGCTGCATTAAAATGCATGAGCTGCGCTAGCCCTAATGATGAGCAGAGCTGTCAACAAGGAGCTTGTCCCAGCTAATTATCTCTAACAAGGGCAGAGAGTCAGGATCCCTGAGGAGCTGGGCAGCCACTTCTCTCTCAGCTCAGCTGCAGAAGAGCAAGAAGGTAACCAAATGTCATTCTGTCGGCCCAGCTAAGAATCATTAATTAGGCAAATGTGACCTTCTGTGCAAATTTGCTCTTGAGGACCCTGACTTGCCAGAGCTTGGTCACGCAGGCAGGCTGGAAACACCCCCATTTCTGCCGCCCTGCTTCCCTCCCGCAGCACAAAGCATCCTGCACCCACGTCCAGCATGGCCAGTCAGGCACCATGGCCACGGCTAACTCACCTGCTCGCTGAGACACCTCTCGCCAGGGCTCCAGGCTGCTCCCAGATCACAGCATTGCAGAGAAGTCTCCTGTTCTTCGTGAAACGTCACCATTTAGGTTACAAACCCCTTTGTCCCCTCGCTCCTCCCCAGCACAGCCCTACAGCAGGCCTGTGCCCACCTGGCAATCACTGCTCTGCAGTTACACCTCTCGTGAGAGAGAGGAAAGGCTGGGAATTCCTGCTCCCCACTGCCACCCCCCACTCCACTGCACAGGGGACCAACCACATGCTGCTCTGAAAGCTCAGGTTCCCTCTCATCACAGATCCTTTAGCTCAGAAAAGATGGTACCTTCAGCCTTACATACTGGAGAGGGGAAGCACATCTCTCCCCAAGATACAGTTAAGGAGAAGGCTCTTGGGAGCCAGCAGCAGCCCAGAGAGGAGGCGTACACAAGCAGTGCAAGTTCTGCATTCTCCCCAGCCCTGCAGCTGCAGGGAAAGGGAAGAAGCCTGCTGCTTCTCCACCCTGAAACCCCACGAAGGGAGGACCATGGAGCTTTACAAATGATGCCAGAAAGACACAGAGTGCTGTTCTGTGGCATGTAATTATGGTAAGTGCTCCCTAAGCTCTTCAGTTTCTTGTTGCCAGGGGGGAGCAAAGGTTCAAACACCCATTTCAATTAAACTTTTACCAATACAAGGTTTAAAAGTCATGAACTCGAACCCAAGGGCTCAGTGTGAGCTGCAATGCCACTGCAGCTGCGACAGGGCAGCTGAGCCCCACCTGCCGGCAGGCACCTGCTTGTGACACTCGGTGTGGGCCCTGCTTCCAGGGCAGCACAAGCTCTCTTCTGCAGAAGGGGGCTGGGGCCATGAACTAAGTTGCACCTCTAGGTCCTGCAGCTTGTGCTGCAACATATGAATGAGCAGTGAATAGCAAAGTTTACTGGTATTGAAAATATGCATATTTCATTTTATATCAGGATCAAGCTCTAAACAGCAGTCAACTATTTGCACAGGCAGAAAGAACTGCATTAAGTCAGTCCTCTGTAAACACCCTCAGAAGCCACAGGGCAGAAATCCTGTCTCAACCACCAGGAACAGTTCCTTGTTGAATTTAAGCTGCTAATGTTGGACTTTGATAAGCGCAACATGCTCCTGGGAGCACATCATCAAATGTGGCCCCTTCCACGCTTGCATGGCGCTGACAGAAGACTCACTGAACCCCACAGCTTGATCTGCAGCAGAGAGTTGCTTCAAAGATTTCTTTTCTTCTATTTCTTCTGAAGTGCCTCTTCTTTCAGTTTGTTGACGAGCTCTTCAGCATATACTTTAAAGAGTGGGACAGGGTCCTGAAAGAAAGTGGAAGGTAGAGCTAGTTGAAAGGGCTGAACCCAGCAGCAGCCAGGTTAAAAAAAAAAAAAAAATCTAGCAGTGCGTAAAGAGTGTCCTGGCTGCGAAAACTTGTACTCAGACACCTGCACTAGTAAAGCCAGTACCACTCAACCGCTCTATCCCCTGACAAGGACAATGGCCTGGAAAGTGCTGGTTATAGCACTAGGAAGAGTGAGCATCCCTCACCCCCCAGATCTGTGGTCTCTGGTATGACTCAGAAATAGACAGGGGCCCTGCCCCTGCACGCACTCAGCCCAGGGAGCCAGCCCACAGGGGCGCTGACAGGCAAATTCACGAGAGCGGCCAGGTTGTTTCAGGGGTTGAACAAAGCAAGCTGCTGTGCTCCTCCACGTACAGCTCTCAGCCTATGACTTCAAGGAATCTGCTTGGGACTTTTGTGAGTTTTACCAGGTATTGCCTGTAGATGAGAATCAGCAATGACTCCCATCCATCTAAAAAGGCTTCTCACACTGCACTACAGCAGAGCTGCAGGGAGGCACATGGGGAGAATATTCTCCTTCAGGCTGTGGTCCCCACAAGGCGCAGGTGCTCGACATCACCTCATGCAGCTGGTGCTCCTGATCTCTGCTTCTGTGCAGCTGCAACAGGAGCTAACAGACCGAGGGGAAACATCATCAAGAGACCCCATCCCAGTCAGGGAGCCCTTGGCTAGCTGGGATGCTCACTACTGTGTGCTACAGCTTCTCACCGACTAGTGAGCAGCAGTGACTGAAGTAAAACAGAAGGTGACCAAAACACAGAGATAGTCACACAACAAGGGACAAAATATGAGCCACCCTCACTACAAATCCCTCTCCAGTTTGGGAGACCCAGCTTTACAATGCACTTTAACCCAGCCTGGGTTTCACATCCTCAAACCCCTGAGGCACCTCAGGAATTTTGGAGCACCACATTTGTTGCAAAGGATGGATAGCTTGGATGATGTGCAGCCTGATGCAGCTAAAGCAACCCTGTACTCACAGGACAAGCATTGCCTCAAACTCACCTTTTTTTCTAGAAGCCGCTGTTTTTCTATTGCTTCTTCTAAACTCAGGCCAACCCATTCAGCTTCCTCTTCTGGAATCACAAATTCCTGTGTTAAAGAAAAGAAATTGGTTGTTTAACTTTTCAGATGACTGATACAGAAATCCTCTCCAGGACCAATTAAGCCAAACACACAGGATCAAGTAAGAAGACTAGAGGACTACAGTGTAAAGAGTTAAACACCATTTCCTTGTTCATCACATTTTTGGCAGGTAAACTTCCCTTTGCAAGAGCCTTCCTTTCTCTGGTCCCTCACACATGTTGCTCTACCTCTTTTTTTTACAGTTCTGCATCTGTTTCTCTGCCTGACCCTGTGGATTCCAGCCTTGTTCCTATGCTTGTTTTGGCAGTTGCACAACATTAAACAATCACACAAATACAACCAGCCCCTCTCGCTGCAGTATCGCTGGAAACACTCATGCTATTAGGAATGACAGACCTTACCAATGCTCATTGCAGACCCCCAGTGACCTGACTCTGAAAAGAGGGGTTTTTATTTTCCTAATGGACCAGTAGTTAAATCTGCAGCCCACCAAGAAACAAGAACTTGACAAGTAATCTTGGGGTCTCCTCCACCCATACCCTTAGAGCTGCAAGCAGAGGCTCCGGCTGGCGTGCTACAGGATGAACAGGACGTTATTGGTGTGGGCAACCAGCAAACACCAGCCTGGGCAGTGGAGCAGGGGCTGCGGGTCAGGAACCCACCCGGTACTTGTGGTAAATGGCCTCCCTCCTGGCTGGGTCGTCCGGGTGCAGCTTGGGGTCCTTCCGCGCAAGGCGCAGCAGCATCGTCCGCTTCAGATCCATGCCGAGCTTCGAGCACATGTCCGCCTTGGGGGTCTGCGGGGACGAAGCCTGATGTCGATACGCGGCTCTCGCAGATGGCCGAGAGCC